AATATTACTTTTTAATGACCCAAACTCCTTATGAATTTAGAGATCATAATCCACTTTGGCATCCAGAAACAAGTTTACACCTGTTTCAGCTTCAAAGAATATTTTTCCATACAAGCAGCTACAGCAGACCCATCTGAAGAGCAAATTTTGTTACAAGCCCCATTCAGAAGCCAGAAGATTATACTTCAAAATCATATTCCAAATAGTGGTCTGGTGAACAGCAGCATTGGCACCTAACTGAGAGCTTGTCAAAAAAATGCAAAATTTCACCCCAGACCTACTATTGTTGAGAGTTTGTGGTATTGCTTGGGAATATTAAATTCTGTTTATAAAGGTCAAGAAAATAAATGGATTGGATGAAACTCTTAAGTTATCATCACTTAGTAAGCTAACACTCAGTGACTTAGTTAAGCACAGTAATGAGAGCTTGTAAGGCCAAGAGAAAAGTCACAAGATATGTTAAAATTAGGTAAGCCAGTAACCTGTAAGATATTCCAAAACAGAAAGAGATGGCAAGACCAAGCCATTATCATACCACCTCTGGAATGACAGCGATGCCATCCATGCCAGCCTTCCAGCGAGGACATTCAGTAGGAGGCTACTCTGGAACCTCAGGGGCTCTCGCCAGGAAACGCAAACAGCCGCAGGCTCATCAGCAGGCGAACTGGTAAGTCTACACCTGTATACAGGTGTCCCTGTCCCCACTGCCTTCGGCTCAGCAAGTGTGTATCCCAGGAAGTAAGATGCCAGGGCATCACGAGCCTGTGCAGAGTTCTTCCTCAACTCGCGTCCTCCTGAGCACGCACACCATCAGTGGGAAAGGCTGATGTGAGAGAGACACAGGACACACGCATTTTGTGCACCCAGGACTCAGGTACAAAAAAGTGAAAGGACTCAGGTCCTTCCTTTCAATCTCCTTTGTACCTTAAGCTCGTTAACTTACCGCCCCTCTCCTCACCATTCCCCCCACCCCACAGTTTTCCTCTTGCTTCTGGCTGTGTGTTTTAAACTGACTTGATAAATCATATGATTCAAGCATTTTAATTTGATGGCTGAGCCTGTCTATTCCATACCTCTGGGATAGCTGGTAGTGTGCTCGGAGGCTAACTACTGCATCAAGGTAATTTCCTACAAAACATCACTAAAAAGAGAGAAGCATTTCCAAAGGTCCCTGAGAGATTGATAGTGCAAATTCAACTTTAGAGGCACTGAGTGGGGCTGTTAGAGAAAACTGCACAGAGACAGAAATTTGGGTGTCAGAACGATGCTCAGAATACCATCCTGAATAAAAGGCCTCAGGTATCCCCCTGACAATAACTCATAGCCCCAAAATAGGGAGAGAAAGCTAAGAAATCCATTTTCAACAACTATCATGTAAGGCTTAGAGCAACATTGCAGCCATTGGTGACTCTCGTTTCAACTCCAGCTTTGTAAAACTACACGTAACTTGAGAAAACACACAGAAAATTACAGAATAATGTATCTCAACACTAATCGAGCACTTTTGTCTCGCTGGGAATTACAAAAATACACTTTTTCCAATACACTATGTTTCAAGAACACCAATCTGAAGGACCTAAGCCTGCCAGAAACAGAGAAAGGGTCATGATTTTCTTAACAAGATTGCAGTGATGATCTCAGGTTATCCAAGAACAGAGTTGAGCAGAATGACCTAAGAAGTGACCTTAATGAGCTGTATACTTCCCACTGGCCACCGGTTCCTGACTTCATCAGCACTGGTAAGTTTATGTATTTATTATATTTCACTGTCCCTGACACATAGTAAGGACTCAATAAATGTTCTGAAATAATTTTTAAAAATTTAAATGTCACCCTTTCTTTGATTTATCTAAGACAAATTTAATTCAATTCCTTGATTCTGAGAAATTCTTGAGAATGAAGGTATAATTCCACATCTCAAATCAACATATTTTCATTACACTCCTTCATTCCATACGCCAAAGTTGGATTTTATATTTTCTATTATTAATTTCCTTCTAATTTTCCATGACACAATGAAGCACATTAATCTTTCCATTAAGAAACAATCTGACGACTTCTAAAAGTCATCAACAATTATATATAAAGGATGTTACATACACAGGGAAGATCAGCTATTATTTTGACATTTTTCTAGGTCCAGATTAAGACATCTTAGGGAAATATCAATTTAAAACATCTATAGAAGAACTAAAATAGAAACTGGACACTGTCACACGCATAAAGGTCATAAACACGTTCTAAAACAAGTGGCCAAAAGTGTTGAGAATGTTTAGTGAAGAATAAGATGAGAGTATCGGGAAAAGAATGTAAAAGTTCTAAAGATCATTTCTGTAAGGAATATGCTTGTTATTATTTCTGAAACAGGGAATGTGTTTATGTTTCAAAGGAAAAGATTTATGTTGGAAAGCATATAACTTCCCATTCCAATAAAGAAATATTTATAAAAAGAATAAGGAAACACCCATAGAGAATGGCTGAGTGTATTCCCTTCTAAATGACCTATCGAATACTGTTCACGCCACACATTCAGGATAGCCAAGAACAGTTAAAAGTACTCAAAGGACATTAGACACTTGAGCACAGGTTTTTACACTGTGTTTCACGGGTTTTAAATGTCATGTGTTTAAGAAGTGACTCCACAAGCTCACAGAGAAAAGAGGTAACCTTATAGATTTTTATGTCCTCTGCGGCTAACAGCATGAGAGGAGACATCTGACAAGCCTTCAATAAACATTATTACCATTCTCTGAGGCAAAAATCTTAATTGGAGAATAATCTAAACACTACCACCATCACCACCATCAGTGGAAAAGTAGCTCTCAAGATTTCCAAGTGAATCCACTTACATGTTAAACAATGGGAACAAGAAAAGAATAATTGTCTCATTCATTACAAAGGGCTAAGAATGGATCTTCTGTTCGCAAACTTAATCCACTCCAACTAGCACAGTTAACTGCCCACTAAAACGCAGCAAGTTATCTTTCACAAATCTGATGTTTGATCCATGTTCTTAATGGAAAGCATTAAACCTTAATGTACTCTATTTCATTCCTTGTTATGTGAAATACAGTCTTTAATGTGAAAATTAAGAGGCAAAATGCTTATTGTTATAAGCAATGGTAGAAAAAAAATGACTTCAACTTCAAAACATAAAAAAAAAAAAAAAAACCAAAACCTCAAAACATCATACCCTAAACCCTGGTTTGTTCACATATGAACATCCAAGTTTCAATGACAAATCCCTTAAAATCCATCAAACCGATAACTGCAGCTGTGTTCTGTGCAGCACTGGACCCAAATACAAGGCTGGTGCTCCATTAGGGTTGATACATTTTAATAAGCTGCTATTCCCCATTAGGGAGTTGGTCACTGGTTTTAACAAACTCCTTGAAGAGTTCATTTCAGTTATCCCTGCCTTGCTGGATGTGTAACAATTTAATCTTGTTGCTTTCTTCCTAAGGGGTAGAAAGATGGTGCTCAAATGAGAGCACTTGCAAAGGGGACTTGAATGATGAAATTTAGGAGCTGGCTGGACGGGCCTGAGGAAAAGGGACCTCTAAAGAGAGTGTCTACAACTTGGGGTTAGGGGAGAGAACGACAAAGGGAGGTGGGAAAGAGCAGCAAAAAAATTTAGCTTCCTTAGAAACTAGATTCATAGCTCCAGAAGTTATTTCAAACATAGTTTAACTTGACAAGACCCATTCTGACCCAAAACTCTGCTTTACACTACTGAAAGGCAAGTTTGCCTGTTAACACCAGTAAATAATTTCATAGATTATTAGCTTATTTCAAGAAAGAATTTCACAGTTACAGAAAGGTCATATTTATCTTTGCTATGTAAATAACATATCTTACAGCCTTCTATCAAAGTTTTACAAGATGGAAATAACAGTAGACAGTGGCTTTAGACTTTGAGGAGAAAATTTAAGAAAATAACATATCTAATTCCAAATCTATCATCTACACACACTGTGTGAGCTAAGAGTCCCTAGAAAGTGGTTGCAAACTACATACTCTGCCACCACAGCCCTCCAGATTCCCCTAAGAGGGCATGCCAGCACCTTGGGACTCAGCTGATGAGCAAGGACACTTTGAAAAAGCACTCCAGGAGATGCTGATACTCAACCAAACACCTTCTGCCCCTCTGCCATTATCAGCTAATAATGTTTCACCACCCGCTGCGGATGTATTTTTGTGTTATTCTTCTATTCCAAATGTTAACTAAGTGAAGTCATTAGAATAGAACATCTGAATTCAACTGGCATTCATCCAGTTTTTAAGAGGTAAAAATAAATCCATGAATGGCAAATCAATTTAACATCCTTTCAAACAATTCCATTTTAAAGCCATATAACAAATTCTGAACTCAAAGCTATTTAGAGTCATAGCTTTTCAATTTAAGTAGTTAAGTCCGCTAACATATTTCCACGAATCAAACATTCACTACCAAGGAGCAGTACAAAAAAAAAAAAAAAAGTTCCAGCATTCCTCACAATCCACTTACACTTAAGTAAGGGATAACTCAGATTTTTTAAGCAAGTAAATAAAGAATATTATTTCAAGGTTATCATAACTCTCCCTTTGTACATGATACCTCAAATCCTACAGGGTTTACATTTAGATGATTTTATTATTTATGGATAATTTCAAGTAAAACTAGTTAAAGAAGTAATTCTCCTTCCAACTAACACTCCTGGTTTTCAGGGTTCATATTATTCATACTCCAGTCCACTGGTATGTATCTCACAATCTCCAAACTTCTTCAACTTTAATATTGCTGTTTACACAACTGGTTTACACAACTACAAAGCACATCAAAAAATAGCTCTCAAAACTCCAAACTCTTAAAATCACCAGACAACATGTGTGTATCAACAACCTGGTGGTTTTTACAGCTGTCAGTCCTAGTCTACATACAGTTAGGCCCAAATACTAAGAAAAAAACTTAGAGGGGGAAAAAATAAAATTCCAAAAACAAACTAAGAAAATATACTTACCTTAATCGGAGCACTACTAAACTTAATTTTCCTATTTGCCGGGATGTCGTCTTCTTCTGGCAATCCAACGATCTCGGAGTACTCCAAATCAGGCTGACAGTAATTGTTTTCATCACTATCTTCCTGCTCCTCTTGTTCAGTGCCTGTCTCTCCCCAGTCTGAATTATACCTGGATCTCACCCTATAGACATTATAGTCACTGTGCATGTAAACATGGGAGCTCCCGAAATGATGCGGCTCTTCAAATACGTCCTTTTCACAAGTGAACCTAGATACATCAGCAGGGGCGAAATCACCACCTGCAAGTTCTCTCTTCTGTTGCATTGCTGCCTCACTCCCAACCAAACGAGCTTCTGCGTCTTCTGAAGGTTCGTTCTGTGGTGAGGGGATTTCAAGCTCTGGCACTGCCTTGCTTTCGGCACCAGCTTCTTCAGGGATGTCTCTGTCAGTTCTGTCGGGAGCCTCGTGGCTAGATGTGGGGGTCTCGGCTGCCTTGCTCTGCTGCGCCTCTTCGCTAGGCACAGGAGCTAGAGAGGTACTTTTCGAAGCCACCTCTAGTCCTGGGCTTGTGGTGCTCTTGGGAGCATCCTCTGCATCGTCACTGTGCTTGCTTGGAGGAGACCAAGAATTAGAATCTTTAAGGTGTCCAAAGGTGTCAAGATTTGTCACGGTAACAGATGGTAAATTCAGGGGATAATGCCCAGTCACCGAGTACTCGGTGTTCTCAGCCTTCTCGGCGATGATGGCACTGGGGGAATCGGTGTTCTCAAACACTGCACTCAGTTGACTCACAGTTGGGGAGACAGCCTCGGTCCGGGAGCTAAGACTGTCCAAGGAATCAGTACTGCCTCGGTTGGACTTGGAACCACCCCATTCCTCCTGAGGCTCACTCCCTCCAGCCTTCTCCTTCTTTGGGGAATAGCGGTTGTTCTGTCCTGACTCATGCACACTCCTCTCAAACATCTTGCGAGTTTCTGAGAACTTAGAATATGAAGGGCCATCGTACATTGTGTCAAATCTACTAATTCGTTCTGAAACAGAGGACTCCAGCTTAACAACCGAGCCATCTGTTTTTTCCAGAAACTCTTTGGGCTTCATTCGCCTCTGAGGGGACGAAGGTCCACCTTTGCCCCTTGTTTTGGCAATGACCGCGGCATTTTCACTGGGTTCCATGCCCATCTGCATAAATAGGTTTTTAATTCTGTTGACATTGGAGCCATATTTCCTCCCCCTGCTCTGCTGGGAGCCCTCACCTTCTTTTGTTTTTTGTTCCCCATCTGACTTGGGTTTGTCAAAGGTACTTTTCAATGCCTGGAACTCAGTTCTATATGCATTCCTGTGAGGAGAGGCACTTCTGAGCGTGGTACGTTCACCCGAAGACTCAGTTTTCAACATTTTTACTTCAGGGGTGAAAAGCCAATGTTCATAATGATCAGGAAAAAAAACCAAAAAAACAAAACACCTCTCTTCTCTAATCACCAGTATCTGGTCAAGAAAAAGTGCCTCTCAAATGGCATACTGGGTCAGTGATCCTCCCAACAGGTGTATTAGGAAATTATTCAGTCAAGAGTTACACAAAATGGCTTTTTCAAAGCAAGACTACAGGTTCATCTGTAACAGAAAAGAGTGAATTTCTGAATTCATTTACTAATTTGAATTTATATGCTTAGTCAACTATTAATACATTTTTCAAAGTGGCTTAGCCACATGTCAACTAAGAAATTACTTTTTGAACTGGAAACTCCAAAGCCAAGAATTTAAAAGTTATAACTCTGATCAATCTTGGGTAACAAAACTGTTTCAAACAAAACTTGAGAAGCCCCACACACACCAAAATCACACACACACATACACACACACACACACACACACACACACACACACGTGACACCTAAGTACACTTGAAAGCAATACTTTAGCCCAAGTTTTGGTTGGTTTTGTGAATGACCTTAAAAGAAACCAACAGTCCCCAGATCTTTTAAGAAATCATCAAACTATCTAGAAAAATGAAATTCACTTGAGATTCCCCACATCAGGAAGAACTTATTCTTTCTGTACAAGCATAATTAAAAGTTCAGAATCTATGTTTACAAACTCCAAAACATGCCTACAGTGGCTTATTCCATTCTTTCTGGACAGATATTCTCATCTATGGCATCCCCAAAGCAACCCTAGTGCAATTTCAGACCAAAACAAGCATAATAATGTTGTTAAATGGCAGTAAGTTTCATTTCAAGTTCAGAACCATATCAAATATTTGGAAGTTTCCTAAGAGTGAACATCATTAGTTTTAGAGTGGGATATACAATATCATGGGAATCAGTGTATGAGAACGTGACGATCAGAAGGTAAACAGACCATGAAACCTCTTTTCACAGCCCTGATTTGTTTATTACACTTGCCTCTAACTTACTACAAGCTCAGAATACAACGCAAGGCATGCTGGCCGGTTTCCGCTAGCCCACAGCTGGATTTTACATCAATATGCCAGCAAGCAAATACTTCAAGATCCGCTGTGAAACAGGCACTGTAGTTCTAAAGATTTTTCATTTTGTTTTTGCTTTGTTTTGTTTTGTTTAATATTAGGCCGAGCCCTATCACCTGCCCGCACCATCAGATGAGGAAAGCACACACTTTCATTGAAACCGTCTCCAACCAAACTCGGCTCCTGGCCCAGCACGCATGCATGGCCCATGCAGACAAACAAGAAAGGCTTCAGAGTGTGGTGCCTGTTTTTCTGGCAGGCATCGACAATCTCCTTCCACCCTGACATTTGTTTAAGCCTTCACACCCTTCCCCCGACCCCCACCCTCACACCCCACTCCCGCCCCCGCCAATTCCAAACCCCGAAGAGGCGGAGGCGGGGGCGACGGGCCGCCGGGGGATTCAAAACCTGCCCTCACAAAAGACAAACATAAATAACACCAACTTGAGAGGCAGCCGATTCCCAAGCCTGGTTCGGGACGCAATCCCTCGGCCCCCGGGCAGGGGCAGGGCCGGGAGAGCAGGTGACGCCAAGCGCTATGGCAGGAGGTCGCGGACTAGCTTTGTGCCAAGAAGCACCTGAAGTCCTAACATACTGGCTGCGGCTCCCGGCGGCTGCCAGGCGGATGCCGGCGTGGCTCGGGGAAAGCCGAGCTCCCCAGCCACATTAAAATTTTTAAAAAAGGAGGAAAAAATTACAGGGTAATGCTAATAAATCCCTTTGTTTTTCGTCCCAGAGTGCCAGGAGACAATAGATCCCACTGATAATGCCTCTGATCCTCAACCGCAACCCACCCCCACCCTCAGCCTGCAACTCAAGCCTTTGTACATCCCGATTTTTCCCTCCTCATCTCCACCCGCCCCAACTCCTCGCCCCGCGCACAGCCTCCCCCTTACCCGAGCCGGAGCCGCCGCGGGCGGGGAGGGTCAGGCGGCCGTGGCTCCCACCCCCTCCTCCGAGGCGCCCCCCGCCCCGCGGTGGCCGCAGCTCGGCTCGGCGCCGGCCCGCTCGCCGCCCCTCCACCCGCTCCTCACGGCGCAGCGCGGAGGGCGGCTGCGGCGGCCGCTTCCACTCGCGCCGCGGCCCCCACGCGCGCCCGGCCCGCGCAGGGCGGCCCGGGGAGGCGCGCGGCGCTGCCCAACGCCATTGCGGGCGGGCGGCGGCCCGGGCCCCGAGGCGCTCGCACCCTCGGGCCGGCCTGGGCCGGGGGTCCCGGCCGGGGCGGGGGCTTCGCCCACGTGCGGCCGCCCGCGCCGGGCCGTTGGGCCGGCCGCGGAGCCGAGGTGGAATGGGGGAGAGGCCGCGGGGGTGAGGAAGGCCCGGGGTAACAGGTGCCTCACCTCGGCTGATGGGATTAACTCTAGGGCCGCAGAGAGAGGGAGCCCGGCAGCAAAATCCCAGGAGAGGGAGAGAGGGAGCCTCTGGCGGCCAACGGAGGGCGAAAACCACCGGCCCGAGGCGAGGCCGCCCCACCCCCCGGCCCCGCGCCGCGGGCGAAGAGCCCCTCGGGCTTGGGCCAAGGCCTGCCTTTCGGCCCGGGTCTCGGCGCCGCGAGGACTGGGTTCTTGGGGCCCCATCCCACAGAGTCTGCAGTTAACTCCCTGACCCCGGGGCGTCTAAAACCCTGGGCCAGGCTCGCGGCCTGCAAGGCCAATCCCTAGGCCCAGCAGGATGGCCGCCACTTACTTAGGCCGCTGAGCTTCACCTCACACCCACCTTGACCTGAGGCGCCACGGCTAAAAAGAGAGAGAGGAGGAACTCTTCGGGCTTTCTTGTCGGGAGTTTTTCAGACTCCCCCGCCCAACCCACCACCCCTTTTATAAATGCTCAGTACCCCCTCCTTTCCCCATCAAAAATAAAGGAAGTGTTACAGCCTACCTGCAAAACGTAAAATCTATCATAACTGTCAATAAAGACCTTTAAACCAATCCTCAAAAAAAAAAAACCTATGGAGTAGAAACTTTTAAGGATAATTTTTCAAGAAGGTAAAAATATACTCTTAATAGAAATGTAAAATGAAGTGTCAAAAATGTTACTTGACTCATCAATTAGGGAGGGAACACCAAGATATAACCCATCCAAATGACAATGTGAAGAACAAAACCTTATGGAAAATCAGCAAAGAGGCAAAACTGGTTAATAAGGCACTAAAATGTAATGTTCTGAATTATCTCCCATACAGGGTAGTAATCAACTGTATCTCTTAAGAAAAAATGATTTTGCATTTCTACAGATAAAAACCATTTACAGTATCCTTAAGTTTCTAGGGCTTATAGAATGGTAGAAAATCTAGTCAAAGGCAGGCAAAGGTGCAAAGTACTATAGAACCATGAAGAATCCCAGGGGTCCCCAGCCTCCCTCTGGGATCTAATTAATGTCTGATGATCTGAGATGGAGCTGAAGTAATAATAATAGAAATAAAGTGCACAATAAACATAATACATTTAAGTCGTCCTGAAACCATCCTCCTCAATCCAGTCCCTGGAAATACTGTCTTCCACTAAACAGGTACCTGGTTCCAAAGAGACGGATGACCACTGCTGTAATAACATCCAGCATTCCATTGAAAGGACCCTCAATAATCTTGTTGTCCATTTCAAAGCCTTACATGAGTTTTTCCAAGGAAACTATTATCACCTGCATTTTTACAGATGGGAAAACAGGTTTCGGTTTTGTAACTTACCTTCGGCTTTCTCACTAGGGCTTCCCAGGTGGTACAGAGGTAGAGAATCTGCCTGCAATGCCGGAGAACAGGGTTCAATCCCTGAGTCGGAAAGATCCCCTGGAGAAGGAAATGGCACCCCACTCCAGTATTCTTGCCTGGAAAATTCCATGGGCAGAGGAGCCTGACAGGCTACAGTCCATGGGGCTGCATAGAGTCAGACACAACTGAATGAGCACACACAGCTTTATCACTAGAAAGTGGTTATAGCTACATATGAACTCTGGCCAGTCTGTACACAGAATCTATATACTCTTGAAGCAAAGTCTTTTCTCACCTACTTTCAAAAGAGCTTTGTCGCTACTCAATTCTATGTATCTCTCATTTTGAACAGTGGAGTTTTTTTTCTTTTCTTCAAGCCTCACCAAATTCTGGGTGCTTTCCCAAGGAATTGGCATTCTCTGTCTACAACGTGGATGTCACTTCTATAAGCATAAACAGATGTAACAGGCAATGTGAGGGGGCTGTGGTTCCAGTCTCCACTTTTGGAAAGAACATTTGTGCTGTCTGGGGTAAATGAGTGGAAAAGTTCCTGTCATTTATTTGCAGTATGGAAACCATGTTTTTTAGGAGAATAACTTAAATAAATGCAGGAACCTAATCACTGAGTTCTATCTGTAGATGAGGGGGCAGAGTTGGCAACAAAACCAGTCTTACACCTCTTTACAAAAAGATGATTCATGCAGAAAAGCAGCCTAAAGAATTCGGTTGGTTTGGGTTTCATTTTATTTTTTTTTTTAATATGAACCTTCTGGAAAAATTCATAGTGAAGGAATGAATGACAGAGTTTTTAAAACATAATTTTAGATTCCTGGCTTGCCCATTATCCACCTTCCATTTCTAACACTTATCTGAATGTTTGAAGGGACTACTAGACCACTACTAACTAATCCAATACATGTGGTTATATAACTTAAATCATATACAATTTAAAATGAAGTTCTGGGCTTCCCTGAAGGCTCAGTGGTAAAGAATCTGCCTGCTGACACAGGAGACACGGTTCAATCCCTGATCTGGGAAGATCCCACATGCCTTTAGGCAGCTAAAGCCATGGGCCACTACTGAGCTTGTGCTCCAAAGCCCAGGGGCCGCCACCACTGAAGCCTGCCAGCCCTGAAGCCTGTGCTCCATGGCAAGAGAAGTCACTGCAATGAGAAACTCTTGCTATAGAGAGTAGCCCCCCTCTCC